CTAGGCAAAGGCACATGCTCTTTCCTGCTCAGAACCTTTGTCCTTGCTTCCCCCCACCCCCCAGATGTACCTGGCTCCTGGTTTCCTCCCCGGGTCTGATTGAAACGCCTCTTTCTAAGAGACCCACCCTTTCTGTTCTGAGGCCTCACGCACAGCCCCCATCATTGTCTGATTGCAGCACCGTATCTCCTGTAGGGCCCATTTGACAACCTGCAGTTGCTTTGTTTGACAGCTCGTTGTCTGCCTCCCCCATCAGAAAGGAAACTCTGTCACAGTGGGGACTGTGTGTCCTCCTCCCTGCTGTATCCCCGTTGCCAAAAACAGGAGGTACCCAATAAATATTTGTCAAATGGGCAAGTGGCTGGCACAGGCACTTGTCGGTGTCTCACCCGCAGCCCCTCACGGTTCTCGCGTGTGTCTGTCGGCAGCACCCTCCGCAGCACATGCCACTCTCTGCCTAAGAGCTTTCCAAGTTCAAGGCAGGCTGGAAATGCCGGGGAGGTGGCGCCTCCAGGAGCATCTCTCAGTCCATGGCAGATGAGAGCTGGAGGAGAATTGCAGGGCAGACCCCAGGACTTTCTCTAAAAAGGTCAGATAGAAAATATTTTAGGCTTTGCAGGCCAAGAGGCAAAATCAAGAATATTGTGGAAGTATTCAAATAATCATTTAAAAGGTAATTATTTAAAATAGCCCTGTCTGGGGTAGCTCATTTGGTTAGAACATCTTCCAGATGTGTCAAGGTCAAGGGTTTGATCCTGCTCGGGGCACATACAAGAATCAACCAACGCATACATGGGCAAGTGGAGCAACAAATTAATGTTTCTCTCTTTCTCTCCCCCGCCCCTCTCAAATCAATCAATAAATTTTAAAAATTTTTCATAAAATGTAATTCTTTAAAATACAAAAACCATTTTTGCTTGCAGGCTGTATAACATCAGGTGATGGGAGAGATTTGGCCCATAGGTCATAGTTTGCTGACTTCTGTTCCAGAGCAAGTCATGCCATCTGCATCAGAGAATTACTGTTTAAAAAGCCACTCCTGGCTTGCTGCTGGGCCCTGGTGGGGAATGAGCCCTTGCTCATTGGACATTAGGTTACTATACAACCAGAGAGGCCTATCATGAGCTGGGTATTTTCAGACCTACCACATCACAAGGTTAGGTGGGCCAAGCAGAGATTCGGTTTAGGATACAAATGGTGCATTTGAGATTGGGCCTGAGAAGGGCCAGAGGACACAAACGAGTTAGTCACTCACCCTCCAAGGTACCTACATCTATTGCACCTCCCCTCATCTCACCCCCATGACCTCACTCCTTGTGGCCAACTCATATAGGAAGGAGAGCCCAGGCCTGGTTCACAAATGGGTAGGCTTGACATGTTAGTAAAAACTGAAAATGGACTGCTGCTGAATTATGGCCCACTCACGGGTGATCCCAAAAGACAGTGGTGAGGGACGATTCTTCCAGTGGGTGGAGTTTCAAGTAGTAGACCTGGTCATCAACTTGGTATGGAGGGAGAAGTGGCCTGGGGGAAGGGTATACACAGACTTCTGGGCAGTGGTAGATGGCTCCCTGACTGGTCAGGGGACTTGTAGGAATGAGATTAGAAAATCAGAGACAAGTAGCGTAAGAGGCAAGTAGGTAGATCTACGGAGAAGGCACACGTGGATCTTTGTGTCTCACATGAAGGCTCACCTGAGAGCAGCCACCTCAACCAGGTGGGACAGGATGACTCATCCAATGAAGTCAGCCAGAGACAGTCTTAGGTCGCTCCACACTTGTAATACGGGCCCATGAATATAGTAACAATGGTGGTAGAGACAGATTATGAATGGGTCCAACATCCAGTCTAACTGCTCCCTCTGCTGAACATCTGACCCAGCAGAAGCAGAGACCAACTCTGAGCTCTTGATGTAGGATCATGACTCAAGGGGACCAACAAGCTACTCGTTGGTAAATTGATTACATCAGATGTCTTCCATCCTACAAGGGGCGTTGAACCATCCTTGTGGGGACTGATACATGTTCTAAGTATGAGTTTGCCCTCCCGTCTGCAGTGCCTCCACTGGCACCACAGAACTACAGCTCTAAGGATTTACAGTGTATGACTTTCATCACAAGATCCCGTAACACATGACCTCAGACAAGGGAACTGCTTTATAGTGAAAGAGGTGTAGCAATGAGCAATGGGATCCACTTGTCCTACCATATAGCGTGTTACCCAGAAACTGCAGGCCTGACAGAAAATTGGAATTAAAATGTGCAGCTAATCAGTTGGCTAGAGCATTGCCCTGACACACCAAGGTTGTGGGTTCGATCCCCAGTCAGGGCACATACAGAAAGAACCAATGAACACATAAATAAGAACAACAAATCTCTCTCTCTCTCTCCCTTCCTCTTGCTCTTTAAAATCAATTTAAAAAACTAATAAATCAGAGTTCACCAAAATTAAAAAACTTTTTAAAAATAAATAAAAATAAAATGTGCAGCTAAGACACTAACTCAGGCATGCACCCTGGGGATTGGGATGCAGTATATACTTTATTTATTTATTTATTTATTTATTTTTAATCTTCAGCCGAAGAATATTTTTTCCATCGCTTTTCAGAGAGAGTGGAAGGGAGAGAGAGGGAGAGAATCATCGATGTGAGAGAGACACATCAATTGGTTGCCTCCAGCCCGGTGTCAAGCCTGCAACCGAGATACATGCCCATGGCCAGAATCGAATCCAGGACCCCTCAGTCCTTAGGCTGACCCTTTAACCACTGAGCCAAACCCACTAGGGCTATACTTTGAACCAGTGGTTATTATACAGTGCTGTGTCCCTGACAGCCAGACACCCGGGCCCAGGCACCAGAGGGTAGAGTGGAAGTGGCCCCTATCACCTTCACTGCCAGGGGGTCACCTCAGGAATTTGTGCTTCCTGTCCTCTCAATTCTAGACACTTCTGGACTAGAAATCCTGGTTCCTGGGGGAGGAGGCTTCTACTCTAGATTCCCCTAAACCCTAAAGGTACAGCTGCTGCCTGGCCATGTTTGGCTCTTCGTGCCATTAGAACAGCAATAAAAGAAAAGTCAATTACTATCAGAGGTTATTGACCTTGATTAGCATGAGGAGCTAGGAGCACTGCCTCACAATGGGAGGAGGAAGGAGTGTTTAGGGTCTGGAATGAGGTGTCACACTGGGGTGCCTCTTGGGACTTCCTGCCTGGTGATAACCATAAACAGGAAATTGCTGCAACAACAGCCCAACAAGGGCTTGGTGATGAAGGGTTCAGACCTCTCAGGAATGAAGGTCTAGGTTATTTCAAGGGAAAAGCAACCCAGACCAGCTGGCCAAGGATGAGGGGAGTATAGGAAGAGTGTTGCAGGACAGAGCTGAGAAATAGCATTTAGGGCATTAGGACTGATTGCAGCAGTGGAATCACAGCTTATACCATTCGCCCTCCAGTCGTAAATTTTTATTTTAAGATTTTGTCACCAGCCAGCATATTAGAGAAGCAATGCCAGGCCAGAGTAAACTCCACAATAGAACCTGATTGGTACAAGGGGTAGACTGTAACAGACACCACGGTGCCTTGCCCATTTCCTTGGCACTCACCAATCTGGTAGGTACTGACTATGTTCTGCTACAAGCACGCTGTTCCAAGTCTGCTTCGGGGGGACCTCTACTTAAAACAATGGGTGACTCACTCCTGCTTCACCCTTCGAGGCCAAGCACTGGGTCAGAGTCCCTGGAGCACAAAGGACCTGGGAGGGAGCCTGTGCAAGCATGGGCTCGGGAGGCCCGAGGGCTCGGGTTCAAATCCTGGCTCCACAACCAGCTGTT